TCATCATTTTTGCCTATAAATATATCTCATTCTTACATTTCTTCTACACCAAAAATTTAGCAATTTTCATTTCTGAAAAGAAAAAATGGATCCCAATAATAGGGAAAACTTTCAAAATTTCTCAAGTTCTAATACTAACAATCCTGATGAATTTCCATTATTCAAAAATTCACAAACTCCGCCAAATTTATCATTTTCACAAGCTCCTTATCGAGCACAATTTTTTCCACAATTCCCATCAAATTTTTCTTTTATGCAACAATCCCAAAATTATCCAATGTCTGGCAATCTTCAATACTCACAATATCCTCGACAAGCTTTATATCAAAATCCACCACCTGAATATTGGCAGTACATAAGTAGTCAAAATCTGGTGCAATCTTCTCCGCAACAATCGAGTCAATCTTCCGGATCTCAAATGAGGAAAGAACTCGATACTCAAACTTACGTTCCGGAAACACAATTGCAGGATCGTGAAGCAGCTATAAATGTTGAAATGCCAAGAAACACACGTGTTGCTGCTGAGGGCCGGAAAAAACGTCCACAATGGACAACGGAAGAGGTCGTGCTATTGGCAAAACTTATGTGACAATAAGTGACGACCCTATTACCGGTAATGATCAGAAGGCCGAAGCGTTTTGGGTACGTGTTACAAAATATCAGTGTTCGCCTAAACGGCCGTTTAGACCGTTTACACGCTGTTTAAACGGTAAACAGCGCTATGGTGTGCAGTTTAGCGGATAAACGGTAATTAAACGGGCTAGCCGTGTAGAGGGAAAAAAACCGTGTAAAATGTGTAAACGGGACGGTATTAAACGGTATTAAACGGCCTAAACGGCCGTTTAGGCCGTTTACACGGTCCGTTTTGGAAATAGAAGCGGTTGGGCGGGAGAACAAAAAATTGATCCTTTTTGTGAGAACTATATATGCGTGCAGTGTGTTACTAACTGTTGTGTTGTAAGATGAACACCTGTGATGTTGACTGTTGTGATGTTATCTGCAATTTGCGTATGGGCTATGGCTATGTCATTGACTCATAAGTCATAATATTAATACTAATGTAGTTAAAAACGTGTAATCCGTTTAATCCCGTGTACACGCCGTGTACACCGTCTAAACACTACACGTGCCCTCGCCAACTGTTTACCGTTTAGCGTTTAGGCTAACACTGCAAAATATTATAATGAAAATACACCTTCTGATTATATTTCTAGAGATTTGAATATGATAAGATCTCACTGGCATAATACAATTCAAAAAAAGGTGTATCGGTTCAATGAGTGCTATAATAGTATTTACGGTGTGTATCGAAGTGGTTGTAGTGATGAGGATATATTAAGTCGGGCTTACGAAAAATATCGTAGTGAGAATAATGGTGTAGCCTTCAATCTTGAGCACGTGTGGAGAATCCTAAAAGATCGTCCTATGTTCACTCCACAATCTTCTAATGATATTTTTGTTGAGAGAAAAAAGACGAGAATTGATGAGTCTGGTGCCAGCAACACTTCATCAAAGGGGGATGCGAGCATTGATCTAGCTGAACTTCATGAAGTGGCTCATCCAATCGGACAGAAGGCAACCAAACGAAAGGCCAAGGGCAAAGGAAAATCTAACCTTGATGAGATGACCGTAGAATATAACAACATGGTTAAGCACCTTGCTGAGTTAACAAGCTTGAAAAACACTGAAGTTGAAGTTAAAAAAGCAACACTTGAGGAAAAGAAGCAGAGGAATCGTCGGAAATACTATGATATTTTAATGAGGGACACAAGTCACATGACCCAAGAGCAACGTATTACTCATGAGAAAATGTGCCAAGTAATTCGAGAGAAATGGAACTTTTAGACTTTGCATTATCTATTTTAATTATCCTTGTAATTCTGTACGTTGTAATTTGCAAAAGTGAATTTTCATCTTATATTTCATTTAAGTTTTGCAAAATTAAAACTATGTAAACTCACATATTTTATTCAAAGCAAACTCACAATATTAAAGCAAACTGACATATTTCCTAGTCAAAAGAAGGAAGCTTCCTCACAATTTCCTAGTCAAAGGAAGGGAGCTTCCTTACAACTTCTTAGTCAAAGAAAGAAAACTTCCTCATAAGTTCCTAGTCAAAGGAAGAGAGCTTCCTCGTAAGTTCCTAGTCAAATGAAGGGAGCTTCCTCGCAACTTCATCAAAAGAAGCATTTGTTTGGCTATAAATACCTCATTTTGTATCCCATTTTATATCCCATTCCAAGTGAAAGAAAAAGAAAAATCCTCACAAAATGTCTCAAAATTCATATAGGTCCGAGTCTAATTCATCATCATCCACCGATAGTGAAGATGGTGAAAACACTAACGATTTAGAAATTGAAATGATTTCATCAATCGTTCAACGAAGCCACGAGTTACTTCAAGCATACAAACATGAAATTGAAGTTCG